AAAGGTGCCAAGGCCGAGCTGGAGAGACAGCTCAGTGGGTACTGGCTGTTCCTTACAACCAACCCATTCGATTCCCAGCACAAAAATGGTGGCTCACAACTGTCTGTAATTCTAGTTCCAGGAGATCCAACACTCTCTCCTGAACTTCCAGGGCACCAGGCAGACACATGGTCCAGGAACATGTACCACTGGCAAAGCATCCACACACATTAAAACAAACGAAATAAAAAAGGTGTCAAGGCCCTGGGGTTGCTCCTTGTGTTGAGAACTCCTAGAGTCCACCGTACTGACTTGCGAGATCTTCCCTGACTGCTCATCCTGCATTGCCCCCAGGACGCATAACACTCTGAAATGTGCTTATCTCCAGACTTTAGTGTTTACGGCCTGAAGATAGTTGACTGCCTCCCTTGGGGTGGCCGTGTAGAATGCAAGACCTTGGCAGAACCTGACCTCCCTCCATGGAGCCCTCCGAGGTTTAGGGAAGAGGTTTAGGGAAGACCGCCTCCTCACTCCCACTGTCAATCACTCAGGTAGGAACAGGCTGCCCTCTCTTGCCTCTATCACTGAGATTATCTGGTTCAGCTGCTGGAAAGACAGACTTGTGGCTCCTGGTGATCATTCTCTCAGCCTGGGGCTGTTCTAACTCACCTTCAACCTTCATGATCTGATATGTGTCCTGGACCACCTTGTACTTCGGTTCATTCCGGAAGGCATGTGCCCAGGCCTGGATCAGGTATAAGATCTTGTTCCGGACATTAACTTCCACTTGCCTCTGTGGAACAGGAAGAAAGTGGGGAGAGATGAGGAGCTGTCTAAGGTCTCAGAGGGAAGAGCCATCTAGCAAGACCAACTGCCCCAAGCAGAGACAACTAGTGCAAAGGCAGGGGAGAGTTCCTAGGGTTGTCAGGCACCAGTTAATCCCAGGAGTGACCCTCCTGGGTATCTATGCTTGCTCAGGGTCACAATTTTTAATCCTGAAAAAAAAAAAAAAAATCAGGGGACTCCCAGAGGCTACATTGCTTCATGTTCCTGATCTACAACCATGCCTCCTTCCATCTCTCCAGGGGATCCTGGCCAGTAACACAGTTCTCTGGGGTCCACAACTAACCTCTACAAAAGGCACTAGGAAGAAAAGATCAGCATTGCCTTTGGGTCTGAGGATACAGATACTACAGCTTTCCCTCCAGCCATCATCTGATAGAGGCAGGGAAATATCCTCTTCACATGTTTCTCCACAGAGGGCTCAGGCCCTGTGAGCTACAGTCCAGCTTCATGCTTGGCAATCTGAGGGAGGCTGTGACACATTATGTTGGGATGACATGGGACAAAGTAGCTTCAAGAATGGATACAGGAGAGCTGGGCGCTGGTGGCGCACACCTTTAATCCCAGCATTTGGGAGGCAGAGGCAGGCGGATTTCTGAGTTCGAGGCCAGCCTGGTCTACAGAGTGAGTTCCAGGACAGCCAGGGCTACACAGAGAAACCCTGTCTCAAAAAACAAAAACAAAACAAAACAAAAAACAAAAAAGAATGGATACAGGGGTCTTTAGACTGGGATTTGTGTTTCCCTCTAAGAATTCCCTCCAGAAGAGGAGCAAACCAGCCTGGTGCACCTGTGGCACAGCAGGACACAGTGTGCCAGAACAAGAACAGGGAGGGCTCCTAACGATTTACTTTTTCCAGCTGGGATCTTGAACAAACTGGCCCTGGTCTGAATCAGGACTCAAGTGAGAAGGGCCAAGCTCACAGCTCAGTGCTTGAGACAGGTTCTGGGCAGCATGAGTTGGGGCTTCCTGTGAGACCAAACCCTGATGCTGGGTTCCATGAAATGGGGAGCGGCATCACTTTGCCCAATCCAGCTGTATCGCCATCCACATCACAATCCTGTAAGTGGTCCTGGGGACAATCCCACATGGGTCCAGAGAGCATTTCCTCCTCTGAAAGGTGTGAATTCCTCTGAAACTCTCCCTGGGGCAGCTCCTTGCTCAATCACAGACTCTGTCACAGATATACTTCAACTTGGACCTCCTCTGCTCAGATCTCTCCCATCCCTGAATGTGCTGCTCTGAACGTCTTCCCCAAGCTCGTGGTCACACATATGCTCCATGGCCATCTATGCCCACAGGCATGTAACCTACTGCCCTTAAAAGCTCAGCTGCATGCCCCGGTCCCAAAAGAAGTGTCTTTCTCATCCTGCAGAAGCAGCACAAGCACATGAGCCTGGAGGTCTCTGCCAGGGTCTACGCTAGACTCAGGGTAAACTGCCATCACTCCTACCCTCACCTCCTGTAATCCTCCACTGCCACACTCAGAAGAGTCGGCACTGTACATTTCGCTTGTGACCTGCAGGACACTTACCTTCAGTAGTTCCTTCAGCTCTTCCATGGTCTGTTTGTTGGCTACTTCGTCATGAACTGTCTGGCCACAGTTTTTCACCACAGACTCCATCACCTGAAAACCCCAAGGAAAAGAAAGGCCTAGCTCCTGTTCAGGGCAGCGCCCCTCCTGCTGGAAGATAGGCCTCTGAGCCCACCCGACTTGTTAGAAACCCCAAGCGGCAGCTCAAAGACAAGTTACAGGCCCTGATAACACCCCATCCCTCAGGGGTGTGTGGACTGTAGCTAGAAGAGCATCGTTTGTGCTCACCCCTGTTCCCACGAGAGTGGTCAGGCTCAGTGGCCACGCTCACAACTGTACTTAGTGCTAGAGGACTGACTCCACTGGTTGCTATGTGGAGGCCTGACACCGGAAGGGTAAGGATCCTTGAGTCTGAAGAGAGAAACAACAGGAACAGGGTTCTAGTTACCTCCAGAGCATACAATGCCACATGTGGGTTCTTATCATTGACCTTCTTCTTGATGGAGTTTACAGCATATTTTGCTCTGAAAGGGGGAAAAAAAGGGATACTAGTACAGCAGAAAGAGAAAAGGATTGGCAATGTCTCAGTAAGGTAAGGAAAGCCCTCCACCATAATTCTTTATGTATTGAGATAGGGGTTTTCGTAGCCCAGGATGGACTCAAATGAAAAACCTTGGACTTCCTATCCCTCTGACTTCACTTCCCAAGTACTGGGAATACAGGCACTGACATCAGGCCTGGGTTATACTGTGTAGGGCATGAAACCCAAGGTTTAATACATGCTAGGCAAATATTCTACCAACTGAAGTATATGCCAACCACGATTCTGGCCCTTCAGACCTCCAAGAAAATGTCAGTAAGACTAAGTATCTCCATACTATACAGCTTTAACTGTCCCAATATATCAAAACAGCCAGGACAAAGAACTCATGTTACCAATCCAATCTTAGAAGAGGGGTGGTCCTCCTCACTTACTGTGTGTCCCCCTGACGGATCAGGTCGCAGATCTGTAGAATGGACTCCCAGTCTGTCTCCAATAGAAGCTGGCTGGTGGCTTTGTCTAAAGGAAAGAAACGCCATTCAAAGGGTCCATTGTGCTGTTTCCAAGGTGGCTCCAAAAAGTCAACAATTTCCCTCATTTTGAACTGTCAATCCTCTTGAAGTACGCTGACAACCATGGAAATGGCACCCACCCATGCACAAAGCAAATAATGTAGAAATTACGATTGTCCCGTATCAGCTGTCACCTCAAGCTCTGAATTCACTCAATTCCCACAGAATTTCATGAGACGGGCACTAATTGCATCTCCTTTAAAGATAAATTAGAGGGTAATGAGTGACCTATGCCACAGTTTGCTGGGCACTTTGAAAGGACACACACTGCTGCGTCTCAACAGGGTCACCTGACCCTTCAGGGTCCCATCATTTACAAGTTTTGTCCTTCACATTACCTCTTAGCTGTGGTAATATAATGGGTCCCTTAGCAAGCTCTAGGGAGACGAGTGACAACGTCTCCATGTCAAGCAGAGGGAGCAAAACCAACCCCCAGCCCACACCTCTTCACACTCAGATCACCTCCCTCTTACAAAAGTGAGCTATCCCAAGACACGCTACCTTCATTACTGATTCAACAAGTTACTGGATTCATACCTGGAACGCTGAACCTCCCAGAATATGAGAGTAAAGAAAACGTTTCATCATTTAAGATCCCCTTTGAAAACCCTACTTCAGAAAGAAGCAGATGAGTAGCCTATGACGGAGCCTGTTCCTGGACACAACACTTTTATTGAGAGAATGGTGCGTGCATGTCCAACTCATTTTTCCCTCCTAAAATTTACACTGTCCAGGGAGTTCAGACAGGATCAACAAGCACCTTCAACAATGAGGAAAAAAAAATGTCTCCCCAAACCCCCAGGCACTACCAGAGCTGAAGAGGCTGAGGTTCTAGGAAGCATTCCCCAAGGAGCTCAAAAGGTTTAAGGAAGGCAGTATCGGCTCCACCCTTCGAACAGGTATTGGGGTATGAGACCCGCATGAAGCTAAGATCTGAGTCATGCACTTCATGACTCAGGACTTCGGCCCAATCGGTTCAGGACCGTCGGACCCAGAGGAAGAGAGGTCCGTCGCGGACTCCCAAACAGCATTCCTCACTGGAACCCCAGGACGCAGTGCACAGCCTGGATGGCCACACCCGAGGCCCGGGAGCCGTGCAGTGCTCCCCGGAGGCCGATGGCCGGTCTAGATGGCCGGCCCGCTCTCCTGAGACCTACGGAGGCAGCATCTGGAAGGTGCGCGAGAGAGCTGACTTAGAGCTGGCGGGCGGACGCGTTACCTAGGAGACGCTCGAAGGTGCCGCTGCCTCGCCCCATGGCGACCCCACTCCGGACCGACGCCGCGGGCGCTCCCTCTTTCGGAGCTGACGCGCCCCCCAACTTCCGCTTCCGCCTTTTTTTTTTTCCTGATCGCGCACGCGCACCGTCTCCGTGCCGCCCCGAGTCCTGCTCCAAGGGGGAGCCTTGCGCTTGCACACTGACTCTGAGCGCCCATTGGACCGCTCAGCCCATTGGGACTAACCAATAAGCAGCCTGGACGGGAGCTCGATCCAATGAAAGCTAAGCGGAGGCGGGCCTCGCGGCGTGGTAGCTCGGAGGTACGAGCGCGTTGACCAGGGAAAGGATGTGTCTCCTGCTAGGGGCCCCGGGAGTCGGAAAGACCCTGCTTGTGAAACGCCTGCAGAATATCCTTCCGCGCCGAGTGGGCAGGAGGGGGCTCCCAGGCAGGGCAGGGAGGGGACACACCGGGGTTGCTCATCGCGGGAGCTCCGCCTTCTGCCACGCTCAGGCCCTTGACCGCAAGTACAGCTGAGCTCGGGAGATGGCAAAGGCGACCTGGGAGAGCCTCCACCGACGCGGCCCACGGTAGGTGTCCGCTTCTCTTAGGTCTGACCAACATGAGTTACCATTGAGGCTTGCAAAGCGCCTCAAGCCTCTCCTGATAGAAGCCGCGGTGCCTGTGGTCAGTGGGTTGGTACTGCCTTCGGCAGGGGAACTCCCGCCACTGGACTTGTGAGTGCAGGGAACCCGAAGCCCGCCTTCCCGAGGGCACCTTTTTCTCCCATCCCAAGAGACTCATTCCGTTGTCACTCTCAGGGGCCATCTCTACGGTTGATGTTGGCCTGGAGTCCCAGAGAGCTGCTTTTCTTGGTGGCGAGAGCTCTGCCGAAGGGCTTGAGCAGTTGTCACTGGCTGTGGATGTTTAGCTCCCTCACATCGCGGAGCTGCCATCCAGAAGTTCACGACGGGACACCGCTTGCGCTGGTCTCTGTGCATTGTGGTTTTTCCCCCATAGGTGGGCACCAACCTCACAGACATCATGGCCCACAGGAAGATCACCATCCGAGAGCTCGGGGGATGCATGAGCCCGATCTGGTCCAGTTACTATGGAAACTGCCATTCGCTCTTGGTAGGTTAATACTTCAAGCTTCTTTTGGGGGCAGTTTTGTCTGTCTCCCTGAACCATCAAGTGTCTGACATACTTTGTATGGGATAGGGTTTGGGGGTCTCAGACTCCAGGAGGCTTGTTGAAGGCACTGCTTGTTCTATGCCTTGATGCCTGAACATTCCTCTGGTTGGTCCTACCCATAGAAAGGGCACCAAATTATGGGATGTAGAACTGACAGCCACACAAACCTCATTGTACTTAAGACACCACTAACACCCAGTCGTCCTCGTAGAACTCCCCCTTGTCTATTTCCAAAACCTGTTGTTTAAAAGCCACTCTGGGGCTAGACATGAAGCTTTAGAAGAATGCTTGCCCTAGCTACACTTGAAGCCCTTGATTCAAACTCCAGTGTCCTAAATTTAAATCAACTTAAAAAGTTGTCCCTGAGGCCGGGCAGTGGTGGCATATGCCTTTAATCTCAGCACTTGGGAGGCAGAGGCCATCTTGGTCTACAGAGTGAGTTCCAGGACAGCCAGGGCTACACAGAGAAACCCTGTCTCGAAAAACCAAGAAAAAAAGTTGTTTCTGTGCTCTTGTGGAATGCCGAGGCAGAGCGCTGGTCAGGGCCACGTTCTGTAGCACGTTTTCCCTTCTTCCCTAGTTCATGATGGATGCCTCGAACCCCACCCAGCTCTCTGCATCCTGCATGCAGCTCTTGGGTCTCCTTTCTGCAGAAGAACTTGCAAAAGCCTCGGTCCTCATTCTCTTCAATAAAATGTATGGGGTCTAGAGGCTGGGGAGGATGAAGGGCAAGGTATCCCAAGGGGTACAGCTAAGACCATGGGGTCTGCAGCTGGGGGTAGGGCAACTTGGTGGCGGGCACCAGTTTGACGAAGTGCTTCTTCAACTACAGTGACCTACCCTGTTACATGACCATGGAGGAAATAAAGTCATTGATGAGGCTTCCGGACATCGTGGCTTGTGCCAAGCAGAACATCACCACAGTAGAAATAAGTGCCAGGACCGGCACCGGCTTGGCAGCAGTGTTGCTCTGGCTCCAGAATCAACACAGGCACAGCAGTTGACTGCGAGACAGAAGTATGGCTGACCCAGCCAAGGCCTAGGAGACAAATGCATGAGAGCCTGAGGTGTCTGGTAGGAGCAGGCCACCCAGTGTATTCATGATAGGGGTCTGCACAGCGACCAGTGAACGAGCACACACTTACAAACACCACTGTCATCCCACTTCTGAACAGTGGTCCCAAGACAGGGCAGACTCCAGGTGTCTTCATGTCTGCCGGGACTCCCACCAAGTAACTGGACCTGCCGAAGGTTCTGGATTGCACGGAGCCCAGGTCATTTTTGCAGTACAGGCTCTGCCCTTCTGAGTTCCTGATATCCTGAGCATGTTGCCCAGAACAAAAATATAAAGTTAATGAAGTTAATAAGAATTGTGTCTTGGGTTGGAGAGATGGCTCAGCATTTGAGAGCAGTCTGCCCTTCCAGAGGTCCTGAGTTGAACTCCCAGCAACCACATGGTGGTTCACTACACTGAGATCTGATACGCTCTTCTGGCATGCAGGTGTACATGCAGATAGAGAACTCATATACATAAAATAAATCTTAAAAAAAAAATTGTGTTTCAAATGAGAAAAATTCGGCAGGATGTGGTAGCACACGCCTGTGGCTTGAGCTACTCAAGAGACAAAGGTGGAAGGATCATTGTTCACCTCAGGAGTTAAGCTCTCAAAAAGATGGGGGCAGTGGTGTACGGAGCAGGTGTGGTAGAATATCCTCTAATCACAGCACTTGGAAAGCAGAGGCAGGAGGATCTCTGAGATCTGGCTGACACAGAGTGCTGACTGCTCTTCCAGAGGTCCTGAGTTCAATTCCCAGCAACCACATGGTGGCTCACAACCATCTGCAATGAGGTCTGATGCCCTCTTCTGGTGTGTCTGAAGAGAGCAATGGTGTACACATATTTGTTAAATAATAAATCTTTAAAAAAAAACAACAACAACAAAACTCAAAAGCCAATACCCTCTGGTAACAGTGGCTCCCAGACCCCGGCCCTAGTCCTGATGCACAGTGAGAAATCAAGTGGCCGATGCACTCTACTCTCTTCTTGCTACTGTTGGGTGTATGTCTGCATACTCATCCCGTCACACAGACACCCACTGACTGGGGCTGTAAGTGTTTTGAGTAAGTGTGTTAGAGAGCAATGGCCCAGACTTCAAAGAGAGCAAAACAAAAACTTTAATAAACTTCATTCTGGAAAATGCACATTTGGAAGAGGGACTAAAAGCATTCCACTTGGGCTCCAGGACCAGCTCTGCTGGAGGGAGGCTCCTAGGTATCGTAGAAGACTGTGGGCTTCCCCAGCAGGGTCCAAGCTTAGCTGTTTTGATGTCTAGGGAAGGTTCTTGAGACACTCTCCTAACCTGTTCAGGCAGGCCTCACGTTCGCTTCAAGTCAAGACTGGCTTTGAACTCCCAATTCTTTTGCCTCTACCCTCTTGGTATAAATATTCTGCCCCATCAGCCACTGAAACCTGGTTTCCATGTGTACACCTCAAGGCACTCAGCCAATACCGACACCCTGTCTCCACCCCAAAACAAACGTGGGCTGGGAGTTCTGGTCTTATGTACAGGCCCCTGCAGGCAAATAAAGAAAAAAAAAAAAGTTGCTGACTGACAGAACCCCCTTGCCCTTGGTATATCTGCTCTTCCACTGTCCCACTAACCTGCTTTGCTGTCCCTGTCTTCCAATGGTTGCAGAGAGCCCATGGGAGCTTCTTAAAACAACAGGCTGACCTACACCAGCAGCGTCAGTAATTAGCTGGATTAAGGGATTGAGTCCTGTCTACAGTGGTCCTGGCTTGTCTCTGCCGAGACTTGTTTCAGAATGAACTTAGGCACAGGGAAAATATTAGCCCTCCCAGCTGTGTCTCAGGCAAGTGTTGGGGGAACTTGCCCTGTATGAGATAGGATACAGTGGTGGTCACTTTTTTTTTTTTTCCAAATCTTTATTTATTCTGCATTAGTTTAAATCCGGGATGGGTACAGCATCACACGGATTCTGTGTCCAATGGCCTTTGCAGGAAGGTTGCTTCGGAATTTGGCACGAACCATGCCACTGTTTCCATGGGCCCGAGTTACCTTCCCCCAGATCACTCTGGTTTTGTTTGGTTTGCCTCCAGGAGTCACTGTATTGTTTTTTGCTTTGTACACATAAACACATCTCTTGCCTAAGTAGAACTCGGTTTCATCTCGGGCATAAACACCTTCAATTTTAAGAAGAGCCATGTGCTCTCTTTGGTTTCGGAGACCTCGCTTGTAGCCAGCAAAAGTGGCCTTGCGCCACAGCCTTCCAGACATACTTGCTTTTAGAAGTCCTGTTCCCAACAGGCCTTCACAGGCTCCAAGATGGCAGAAAGAGGGTGGTCACTCTTAAAAGGACAATCTTTAAGGGAAGGAAAAGCACCCTTCCAAGCTGAAAGCTTACTCTCAGGACCCTATCCAGAAACAAACATCTGCAGTCTCTCCCTTACCCAGCTCCCAGACCAGTTTCCAGGGGATCAGACCCCTGCGTCTCTGCATCATAGACAAGCCTGGAGCTGCCTCTGGGAAGAGCTGCCTGGTGGCTGTGCAGGTGTCACTTCCTGTCGATGGAGCTTCTTCAGGGCTCTGTAAGCCTGCACAGCCCGTTCCCGCTCTTCCCCCAGGATCCGCTGGCGGGCCAGTGAGGTGGCTGGAGCTGGGGACCCACCACTGGGGCCCAACAGCATCTTCAGCATCAGTGACTTCTTGCCAGGCTAAGGAAAAGAGGGAAGGCTGTAGTACTAGCTCAGCTAGGAAAGAAGGGGCAAAGGGTTCTGGCTGCCCCAGCAGCTAATAGCCCCTTAAGAAGGTCCTGGGCCAGGACACTTTTGCACTCCAACAAGGGAAGACCTTGCAGACTACCCCCTCCCTGCATTCCCTGGTCCCCACATACCGCATCTCTGCTTGTGCTCCTTCTAGGCTGTACTGTCAGCTCCGGGGGCTGCAGCACAACTTCTCCAAACTTCACAGTATCTGGAGAGACAGTGAACAGAAGCCCATGTCATTTCTTACTCACCCACCCTCCCTCCCTTTCCTGAAAGCTTCAGAACTCACTCATCCACTGGCCTACTAGTGGTGGTGAGCCTGGGAGTCCACAGGGGCCACCCAGAGGTATAGTGGGAAGATCAGACTTCCGTGATCGCTACAGGAAGAGCTACCTCTTAGCAGCTCCTGCTCCAATCTGTCCACAGCCCTTGCTTCCCTTTTCTTCTGAGCCTTTTCAAGTCGTCGTTTCTGGAACCTGGGGAAAAAGTACATGTTTTCCAAATTCCTAAGCTCGTGTTCCATTTTAGGGACAGCAGAGGTCAGCCTGTCCTTGAGGGTTCCAAAATGTGGGGCAGTGATACAAACTCATGCTCAGTACCCAACAGGCTCCCCAAGGGTCCTCAGTCAGTATTTCTCAGCCCCAGGGAACAAAAAGCCTAGATATTCTGGGTTATCGAAAGGAGGGCAAGAGCCGGGCAGTGGTGGCGCACTCCTTTAATCCCAGCACTTGGGAGGCAGAGACAGGCAGATTTCTGAGTTTGAGGCCAGCCTGGTCTACAGAGTGAGTTCCAGGACAGCCAGAACTACACAGAGAAACCCTGTCACGAAAAACCAAAAAAGAGGAGGGCAAGGATGTAGCTAAGTGGCTTGCAACGAGCATGGCTGCGCTGCTGGGACTCAGGGGCTATCCTGAGATAATACACCCCATGCCAGGGATCAGGTGTGAGACTGGGTCAGAGTGCACCATATGGGTGGCACACCACACCTCTTTGTGAGCTCTTGGAGACCACTGTAACTGGGCTGCTCAAGTGACTATGACATTAGAATGAAACAGAAGGCCATCTCATCACATCTTTGAAAGAACAGGAAAGAGACGTGTCTCTTGCACTGGTGAAGGGGAACAATGATTTATGGTCATCTTTGTTTGTTTGAAACCTGTCTGGCCTGAACTCAAAGCAGGACTCCATCCTCAGACTTTCAGTGAAAGCCCGGATTGATCCTTCCTGCAAGTTGTGATTAATACTCCTTCTCTTTTTTTCTCTCTTTATACATATAAATGTCTATGTACACACACACACACATATGTACATACACATATATACATACACGTAGAATGCATGCATACACACACACACATATATATATACATACACATATATACACACACGTAGAATGCATACACACTTTTTTTCTTTTTGACAAAACTACCTCTCTATCTGTGCACAAGCCAGTGGTGGCCTGAGCAGGAGGTGACTGAGCAGACAGGGGGACACCAAGTTCATGGTCCCCTATGGTGGGATTCGACTGCATCCCCATGGATGATACAAGAGTATATCTGAGCATCATGAAAGAGACATTATCTCCTCTTTATAGTCAAAGACACCAGGCCAAGAAGGTACAGAACTTGGACAAACTCAAATCTCTTTCAGACCAACACTAGCGACAAGCCCACTACAGGGCAGGTAGCAGGCTGCATGCCCGTCAGCCCCACATGGGTCTTTCCCTGGAGGATATTATGCCCTGGCACCCAACAAGTCCTCCTTATAGCACACACCAAGCTTTCTCCGCTTTCCTACAGCAGTGGCTTCAAGGCAAACAACTCTCCCTTCCAGTCTAGTTCTTAGACCCTCTAGTGTTGTCTCCAGACGAACAAAACAGAAGCACGGTCTCTGCGGACTACTGACCAGGCTTTGGCTTCCCATGTTGAGAAGCTGTTGTGACCAGGGCTTCAGCTCATGATTCTCCTGAGTCGTCAGATGGAATGGACATGGCTGACTGACAAAGAGAATACAATCACCAGAACCCACAGCCTTGCAACTCACGCTTTCTTCCGCTCAGACTTCTCCTTCTTGGGAGCTGCCTGCACCTCTGGCTGCCGAGTGGCCTGGTTCTTGCTAAGAAATAGTACATGCTGGGCCTCCTGCTCCATGCGCTGGATGTAGGCCACATCAGACTCTCCCTTCCTCTGCTTGAACTTGGGGACAGTGATGTCTGGCTCCTCTCCCTTTGCTTCCTTTTCCAATGTCTTCTTGAAAGCCACCTGGGCTGAGGAGAAAGGACACCCAAGAGTAGGTGTAGAGGAAGCTAAGGATGAAGTGTTTGGAGATGGGTACGCAGCCCATGATCATTTCTCTCCTACAGCCTCAAGAGGGGAGGACCATGCTTAATGACAAGCAGAGAGAGCTAAAATATTCGGTTGAGAGGAGCCCCAGATGTGATCTCATGACCTATCAGCTCCTGTCAAAGATGTCCACTGCCACACAGGTGAACAAAGGACCCAGAGCAGCGCCAAGCACTGCGCCACACACCGATAATCCCAGCACTCGACCAGAGCAGCGCCAAGCACGGCGCCACACACCTGTAATCTCAGCACTCTAGAAGTGGAGATAAACTGATTTTGGTAAGGTCAGCCAGGGCTACCCAGAAACACCCTATCAAAAAAAAGCCCCAAAACACACCAGTGTGGCTAGAGAGAACATGTACCCTGAGGGCTGGAGAGATGGCTCCCCACTCGAGAACACTGACTGCTCTTCCCAAAGGACCTGGGTTCAAATCCCAGTATCCACATGGGAACTCACAACTATCTGTAACTTCGAGATCTGACACTTTCACACAGAAATGCATACACACAAAACACCAATGTACATAAAAATGGGGGAAAAAAAACTGTACTCCTTCAAAGACCTGAGTTTGGCTCCCCAGAAACTACACAGAGCAGAAAGGCCTGTAACTAGGGCTCCAACACCCTCTCATGGCCTCCAGTAGCAATTGCATGTACATCCCTCCATACCAGTCAGACTTGCATATACATAATTGAAAACAAAACCTAGAAGACTGAAGGAACTGAAAGGATTTGCAGCCCCATGAGGAGACCAACAATACCAACCAACCAGAGCTCCCCAGGGTCTAAACCACCAGCTGTATATGTAGGGGAGGATGACGGTGTCAGGCATAGGAGGATGAGGAAGTCCTTGGTCCAGTAAAGGCTGGACGCCCCAGTGTGGGAGAAATCGTGGATGGGGAGGTGGGAGTGGGAGGGTGGGTGGGGGCATATCCTCATAGAAGCAGGGGTGGGTGGGTGGGATGGGGGTTCCTGGGTTGGGGGGGGAAGGGGATTACATCTGAAATGTAAATAAAATATCCAATAATAAAAAATAAAAAGAAAAGGAAACCTAGAAACCCCAAGCACTTTTATATAAAGTATAAAAGCACTGCTGTAAAATCGGCCCTGTGCTGTCCTTCCCATACCCTGCACTCCCAGTGCCGGGTCTTGGCGTATTCCCTCTGCCTCAAACACCTTTAAGTATTTGGGCAACTGGATGGGTTCAGACAAAGCTATGGTGGCACACAGAGCACAGCAAGGGCTGTACATACCCTCCTTTTTTCTCTTCTTGTTACTTAGAGTCTTTTTCATCTCCTGTCGGCTCCTCATGATCTCTCGGAGCCGGAAAGGGATTTCTTGTTCATCCTGGTTCTTAGGCTTGGAATTCACTTTCTTCTTTTCTTTGCTGGGAAAAAAAAAAAACAAAACAAAACAGGAGGAGTGTCATCCTTTCCATGTATAACAACCAGAAATAAAGTAGGCATTAAGGCTGTAAAGAAACAGTTGAGGGGCGGTGAACACACGGTCTTCTCCTTACCCTCGACCCAGGCTGTCCTGAACTGGTAAGGCGCTCTAGAGCTTCGGGAGGCTGGCAGCCCTGACCTCATACCCTGAACGTGGCTCATGGGACACTTGAGACACTCGCCTCCGTTCATTTAACACACAGCTGAGCGTGGGCTTGGGCTGAGGTACGTAGAAAAGCTCCCAACTGGGTCCTCTCCCGGGGATGTCACCCACCTGCGCTGTCCCGGCCGTGAGGCCGAGCGCTGCTGTCCCTGCGACTGCTGCTGCTGCCGCCGCCGCCGCGCTTGCGGCTGTCCCGATCCTCCATGACCCGCCGATCGCGCGGTGATCCGCGCTACCCCAGGCCTCGCCATTACTACCCAAAAAGCGTCCGGCACGGAACTATTTCCGCCCTCTTGCAAACCCGGGCCTGAGAGCATCACTTCCGCTTCCTGCGCTGCGTCCCAAGCTCATTGGCTCGGTCATCCGCACCAGCTATGGGCTCGCTGCTGCAGAACCTGTCCCGGGGTGGCCGGGTGGGAGCTGTGCTCTGGTGCTGGGCAAATGCCCGCGGCTTGAGCGGATCCCAGTGCCCCAGCTGGGTTGCGCGAAACCTTTCGTGCAGCCGAGGTATCCCCGGTCTGGGAGGCAGGCCAGCGCTTGGAGGAATCATGGTCAGCGTGCTCACTGAGAGTTTTCTTCTGGTTTGGGTCCCAGACGAGTTAGTTAGTGGGCAAGTAAACTGCAAGAATAATAGTGACCAGGGTCATGAATGAATAGCAGGGAAAGGGACCCGAGGGCTTTTGAGAGGTGAGAGACAGAAAAATGGGGTGACCCAATGTCTCTTAAGCGTCTCTTGTGAAGTGATGGAAGGATGACACCGGGCTGACGATGACATATTAGGTCAGCATGGTCAGAAAAGTGCTCAGCTATAGCTGGCTGATGAGAGTCAACCGGCTCGATAGACTTCCCCTTATCCTGTCCAGGATTTGTCGTCTGTCTGGTTGTCTGATGTGGAGTTGTTCCTCGAGCAGGCTTTGATAGCACAGGCCCAGTGCCTGGCACTGAACCGAGTGAGCCCTTAACAAGTTTCTTCTCATACCAACTAGTATGTCCACTTCACAGATAGGGAAACATTATACAGAAATAAAATATAATAACCTGTCTATGGTTCTGCAGGAAGTGAGGCTGAGAAGGATGTTAAGCCACCATCCCAACGCTAGGAAGGCTGAACACTTCCCAGAGCTGGGAACAGCTTCCTGGAGAGCCGTACGGATTACCCCATGTTCACAGGGAATGCACCACTTCTCCAGCTGGGACTGCTGTCAGAGTCTTCCCCGAGGAAGACACAGTGTTCTTCACAGATACCACACTCCAGTGCAAGTCACTGATAGCTGCAGAAGGTTGGGGACGGACCACAGGGAAGAAGGTTTCCAAGTAGGTACAGAGAATGACAGGGAGCCAAAGGCCTCCCTGCCCAGGGGGAACTCCATAGGGCCCCCATACTCTCTGCCACCTGAGCTTGAGCCTCCGACAAACTGCTGTATGAGTGGCTGTCCTAACTGTGTATGGGTGGACTATGCAGAAGCTCTGCTGAGGCTCTACCAGGACGGTGGGGAGAAGGCCCTGGCCGTTCTGGAGGAGCATGTGACAGATGAGAACCTCAAGGCCTTCCTCAGGATGGAGATCCGGCTCCGAATGCAGAGTGGAGCCTGATCCAGTTTACCTGGGACTTCTTATCTTGGACAGACGCTACCCTTAAGAAGCAGCAGGGTCACCTTTGTTCCTAAGTCTGGAAGACTCTACAAGTCTGCCAGGAGCAGGGATTATTATGTAACAACTTCACCTCAGAATAAATGAATCCTCTGTGACAACCATGCAGGAGCTTTTGTTTGTCTCTCTGCCTCTATTGTCTTGTCAGAAGAAGCATGCCTAGGCTGACTGTGTATCCCTGCGGAACAGCTGAAGCTTCCCTTATGGGTGAAGCCGAACCCATGTTCCTGAACATCCTGAGACAGGAGCTGCTCCAGCCCCCAGTGTACCTGGATGTCCTGCTGACAGTAAACTCTGGTTCCAATCTCTGGTGAATGAGAACCAGCACATGGGAAGGGCCTAGATGCTCCCTGTCTCCTGCTAGGTCCTGGAGGGAGATGTTCTTTCTATCATGTAGTAGTGAGGGCCATCCCTTAGAGTTCTGAGCACTGCTAGAATAAGCAAGGCAGCTGGAGCATCGAGCTCCAGGATGAGCTCTCAGGCACTGGCAAGGACTGAGCTTAAATGCGTTTGTGCCCACCTATCCCGGTTAAAGCGACTTCTTCCTAAGGTTGAGCTGATAAATAAGTCCTTTTCCATGTTTGGTGTTTTACACAGATCCATAAAACAAAATAGAGATCAGAAGGTAGGGGCACTTGGCTAGTGATGACAGAACACAGTTCAGGCTAGTATCTTAGGCAGATGTTACATGCCATCCAAAGTACTCAGCCAGGGCTGGGCCCAGATAAACGATAGTGGTGACCACACGTATTAGGTCCAAGACTCTTGTGACTACTTACTATAGATTAAACGTTTCCTCCAAAAAAGAGATTCAAAAGACTCAGTAAGTAAATAAAACCTGGGCTCAGGAAGCTCCTAAAACTTACAAGATTCACAGAGTTTTCCCTAAGACAAGACAGTCAATAAACCATTGCTGGAGAGTGGGTACTAAACTAGCTGAGTTGCCTGCAAGCTGTGTAGAAAACCCCAGACAGACAACTTTTGTGACCCATCACCCTCCCCCGCCCAATACCCCTGCCTACCTCCCCATGGTTTCTGTGTAACAGCCTTAGCTGTCCTGGAACTTGCTTTGTAGAACAATCTGACCTTGAACTCAGAGATCAGCCTGCCTCTGTGCTGGGATTAAGGCATGCCACCACCACCCCACCCGGCTTGAATCGTCACTCTCTCATCCCCCATCCCCCCACCCCCTCACAGGATTTCTCGGTGTAGGCCTGGCTGTCCTGGAACTCGCTTTGTAGACCAGGCTGGCCTCTTAACTCATAGAGATCCACCTGCCTCTGAAGCGCTGGGATCTAAAGGCGTGCACCCCCGCACCCAGCTGAATCACCCCTTTTGATGGGGTTGGCTTTCTGGTAAGACAGCTGCCTTTGATCATCCACGCCCCTATAATTCACTCCAATAAGCTCATCAGTCCACCAAGCATTACTTGGGCAGAACCATTTCTCTGTCATTCGTGCCCTAGAGTAGGTAGACGTTTGTTCACCTCTCCAGAAAATGTCAACACCAGTGGATCCTACAAAAGCCAACATTTCCAACATTGGATAATTGTGGTAAAGGCCTGTAAGGTCATGCAGTATGAGATGCCCCCAATGGAACGGCACTGGCTAGCCCTTTGCAGTGGGCCTCTACCAATTTAACCCCCAGGTACTTAGAACCAAGCATCTGTGAAGTGCCCCATGGTGGGCAAGACACTCGAAATATAACATGCCTCCTGAACCACTTCAGCGTAGAAGACAAAGATTAAGACAAGAATGGTACTGAGCCAAAAAACCAAAAAAAAAAAAAAAAAAAAAAGAATGGTACCGAGCTGGCTGTGTTGGCACATGCCTGTAATTCCAGGACTTGGGAGGAAGAGGTGGACTAGGGTTTAAAGACCATCCTTAGCTACATGACAGTTTGAGGCCAGCCTGGGACTACATAAGACAGTGTCTTTAAAAACCCAATTCTAGCCAGGCAGTGGTGGTGCATGCCTTTAATCCCAGCACTTGGGAGGCAGAGGCAGGCAGATTTCTGAGTTTGAGGCCAGCCTGGTCTACAGAGTGAGTTCCAGGACAGCCAGGACTATACAGAGAAACCCTGTCTCGAAAAAACAAAAACAAAAAAATAAACAAAAAAAAAAACCAATTCTATCCAAGCTTTATACAAATGAGTTAGAAGGAAATAAGCTGATCTGAAATAGATGCCCTGGCCTAATTTGAGGGGTGACCTTAAGACACTAGATCAGAACCCTAGAGGACCCAGAGGAGGAAGCTAGAAGAACAGGCACAGGAAATGGACAACCCAGAGGATCAAATGCTCAGGCCTTGGGGTTGAAATGCAAGAGGAAGGGCTGAAAGGTAAGAAAAAAAATGTATAGAGGCTACTACACAGAACATGGAGGTCCACCGACAGGGTTTCCTCAGTGGATGGGACAAAGCGAGGGCTAAGCCCAAGCCAGGGCTGTCTGGAAGATGGCCCAGTTGTTTCTGGAGGCCATGCACATGTGAAGCATAGCCCCACAACCAGTGAAGGTCATATTTCCCCTCCTTGTCTTGGCTACCTACTGGACCTGGGTGTCCTTCCTTAAGACCCTTGGGTGCCTGAACCCCTTCTGCCTACCCCCAGCATGCCAGGCAGTGGTGGCTCCCTCAAGGCCCAGCAATCTGATTAGTGTATCATTAGAAAAGAGAGTCATAATCCGCTCACAAGGAGGATAAATTCCTAGGCCAGTGCTCTGCTGATCCAGGTCCAGACAACCGGCACCCGTGACTCCCTGAGATCTGCCCAGTGCTTGGTGAGTATGACCCATCCTGTTGCCCTTTCTGATAGCTAGGCATCAACCTAGTCCTGGTTCCTAGACTGGTGCTGGCTTCGGCCACAGAGGCTTAACCTAAGAATGACAGAGGGGAGCCACTACACTGCGGGGAGAGTGTGTTGCCTACAACAGACTCCTGCTTCCCTGTTGATTAGTCTCAGCCTTGACGTTCCAGAAAACCACTGACTGCTCATTCACCCTGAGTTGGGGAAATCTAACAGGCTTTTACCACCTCCGCTGAGCGCTTAAGTCTTTAGGAGCCTGTCTTGTTCCCCTGTCCTTTAGCAAGGACATCCTACCGATCACCTGCTCTGATTTCCCACAATGCCAAATTTAGTGCCTCTGTTACCAAGACTAGCAACCTGATCATACAAAACTGAATGGCACCAGCTTTAGGTTAGTCCTGGTTAGGCATCTCAGACATGGTTTCCACGGAATCAGCACTGCTCATTGGTGCTCTGTCAGGGAACGGCTGCCCATGGGGGTTCATGGCCTTTGAAGAAGTATTTTTCTACTAGGAAGTAAGAATAGGTGCCCCGGGGACTGAGCAGCCTGGTCTCCTATGCTCTGGAGTCCTGGTTTCTAGGCTGGTGTTGGCTTTGGGCACAGAGGCTGAACCTAGGAATGACAGGGGGGAGCCACTAGACCAAGGGGAGGTGTTGCATACAACAGACTTATGCTTCTCTGATTAGTCTCAGCCCTGATGTTCCAGCAAACCACTGACAGTAGCTTAAGACTGGACAGTGCTATACTACATAGGACTGAAGATAGAAAAGGGTAGTCCCTGGGAAACCTAAGTGTCTGGCAACATCTCCTGTCTGGGTCACCTGTATGGCCTCAGAACCTTCAGCAGCATGTGAGGTTTATGCAGCTTTCTAGAAACCCTGGGAGATTAGGAGTCTCCTTCAGATACTAACAAGATTACAGAAAGCTATATTGTCCATGGCCAAGGTCACTGGGGCTTAGAGCTCTTGGGAAGAGGTTCTGTGGAGAAGAGGAGGGACTATCCTGTACAGTGTTTTCTAGGTTGTGGCCTGATATGAGGCAGCAGAGGCCAGCTCAGCCACACCAGCACCTGAGGTGCTGCCCAACCCAGAATAAGTGACCTAGTGAGTATCCTCGGCATTCTGTGCCCAGGAGAGTCCCAGTGTGACCACTCTCCTTGAGGCCCACTTCTGGCTCGGCCGTCTGAAATAGTGTCATGAAGAAGAGAGGTTCCCGGCTCAGCTGTTCACAGACAGGGCCCTGCCCTAGAGCAGCTCTGTGTTCCATTTTGGGGAGGTTAGTTAACAGCACCAATCCAACCAAAAGAAACAGATAACAAGCCCCAACAGGTATATAAATATGAACAAATATACTTACAGGGGCATGTCAATAATGCCTTTAAAGATTTACTTTTATTTCATGTATGTGAGCACAGTGTTGCTCTCTTTGGACACACCAGAAGAGGGTGCCAGATCCCATGACAGATGGTTGTGAGCCACCATGTGGATGCTGGGAATTGAACTCAGGACTTCTGGAAGAGCAGTCAGTGCTCTTAACCACTGAGCCATCTCTCCACCCCATAAATAACACCTTTAATCCCAGCACTCCAGAGGCAGAGGCAGGCAGGTTTCTGAGTCTGAGACCAGCTGATCTACAGAATAAGTTCCAGGACAGCCAGGGCTACACAGAGAAACCCTGCCGATAGATAGATAGATAGATAGATAGATAGATAGATAGATAGATAGATAGATAATAGATGGATGGATGGATGGATGGATGGATGGATAACTTTCCAGTATATAACATGAAGAAATAAATTAGGACCTGGGAATACAGAACAACATGAGGTAGACGAGGCCTTCCTTTCCTGAGACAGGACCAGGAACTAGTGAAAGCAGCCTGTGGCCGACCACCTGAAAGGGAAGGCAAGTGACTGTGAGACTCATCTGCAGGATCAGGAGGGAGTGTCCTTTGTATCAGTCCCAGGCATCCTCAGAAGGCTTTCAACAGAGTGACAAGGCTGGATCAGATTCCAGTGTGTAGTGGGGTGGGGAGCAGACAAGGGTGTTCAATGGCTATCTGCAAGGAGAGATAGTAAAACGTCCTGGTATGGGACGTACGAAGGGTCCAAAAAGTGGGTTTGGTGTGGATTCGGAGTATGGGATGGGTAAAAGGGTTGTGTGTGACTCTTAGCAATGTGGGGTGTCTGATGGTACCAGACAGAAGGACAATGCTGGGAGCCCAGGTGGAGCGGGAAGGTGCTTCTCTGGAGTGCAGTCAGCTGTCTCAGGATGGTGGCTCCTGGGTGTCAGCCCTCTCTGCTCCCAAGGTTGTTGTGATGAGCAAGGGAGCTAACAGGGATCTATCTGGTCTACCCTAGCCTGCATGAGGAGTCCAGCCCAGCCTGACAGAGTCCAGAAGCTAAGGGTCACTGCAGTGTCTCTGCCAGCCTCACCATGAACCTGGAGCTACCCAAGAGTGAGATTCGGTCAGCCACACGGGTGATAGGAGGACCAGTCACCCCCAGGAAAGGACCACCTAAATTTAAGCAACGGCAGACAAGGCAATTCAAGAGCAAGCCCCCCAAGAAAGGCGTGCAAGGGTAAGCAAGCAACAGAAGGGAGTCTCTCACAGAAGAAGCACTCTTCTTGGGCCGTAGCCTCTCACAGAAGGAACACTCCTCCTGGGTTGCATGGGAGGACAAGGTGGAGGCTGGGGCAGGGCTCTTTGCAGTGTGTCCTCATTCCTGAGACTGGGGCCTCAGAAGTGCTAGGGGAATGAAGGGCTATCATTGACGCCAGGTGCCACAACCAGGCAGGTCTGGGAAACAGACTGCCTGAACCTCCTCAGGGATATGTGTGTACCCCCAGCACTTTCTCCTACGCACACACAGACACTTACATAAGAACACCCAGAAACTCTGTCTTAGTCAGCTGTCTGTTGCTATGACAAAATACTTTGGCAGAAAAGATTTGTTGTGCCCACAGTTTTGGAGATTGAAGGTTCCAGGAGGGGGGAGGGGGTCTCAACTGTTTAGCATCTGGAAAAGACCGTATAGGTATATGACAACCTGGAGGATGGCATCTTGGCAGGAGTGCTGGAAAAGGAGACAGGTCATATGTAGAGGAACCTAGAGAGCAGAGAGGAACAGGTCTCGCCCTTACAACTACCATGTCTGTAGTTGTAACCTTGTCCTGTAAGATTGGCATTGATCCACTGTAATGTTCCTCAGGACCCAGTCACTATCTACTTGGCATCCTCCTAAAGCTCCACCGCCTCCCAAGACTGTTGCACTGGGGGCTAATTTCCAGTGTGTGTGCCTTTCAGAGACAAACCATAGCCTGCACATTGAGACACACACAGCACCCTCACACTCACTCACTCGCTCCACCTCACGCTCGCTCCACTGCAGAGACCCACAGCCCATGCTCACCCAGGCGACTTCATTCTCTGGTCCTCGGCTCGTAAATCTCAGGGAAGCACACTAGGCACATGGTGGTAGAGGAGAGCCCTCAGATCGTACCCAGTAGCAGATGTAGGGGAGTAGACCTTCAGTCTGGCTTCTAGGGGTGGCTAGATCTAGCTATACCTGGAGATAACATCCTTAACCACTCTGTCATTGCAGGTTTGGGGATGACATCCCTGGAATGGAAGGCCTGGGAACAGGTATGACCACTTGGGATTGGTGCTTCTGGACAGTCCTATTAAGTACCCTACATCCCTCAGACATATTCCCACTGATCCCAGATTCCTCTGTTTATTGCTTAGCCTGCCTCCCCTCTGGTCCCCTATTTCCCTCCCAACATCAGAGAAGGGTTTCCCCATGGAGCAGGTTCACAGGGCACAGGAAACACATTTGTTTCTCCTTCCAACTTTGGCAAAGGGTCCCTTGAGCTCCCCATTCAGGCCCTACAACATTCTTCTCTACTAGAGGCAAGATCCAGAACACAAAGTTGGTGCTTCCTGCCTGGGATGAAATTTGTAACCATAGTCTAGACACTCATCCCAGGCAGACATGCTTCTGTTTGGGGAATGAAATGCAAGGCAGCAGGAAATGGGTGGCCCCAGGGTCACAGCGTCTCTTTAATCACACCTTTCCTGCAGATATCACCGTCATCTGCCCTTGGGAGGCCTTCAACCACCTAGAGCTGCATGAGCTGGCCCAGTATGGCATCATTTAGTCAAATCCCTGCTCCGAGAGCCCTGTGGAAGACACCTGCTGAAGATCCACTCCATCTCACCACCCTCTGTAAACCCTGTCTAGGACCCCTGCCCAAGTTTGAGCCTGAGTTCCTAGCCAGGTTACCCTGGCCTCCTGGGACAACCTCAGGCCCTGACATCAGCTACTGAGAGCCTACAGCCTCCCACAGGACACCCTGTTGACCTGAAGTCACTGGTTAGCAGAAAGAAGGGTGTGGGAACCAGCCCCATCTCCTGTCCTTCTTGTGTCTGTGATGCAGGGATGGAGTACCGAGTAATGTTTCCCCGCACTGACTTCTGACGGTAATAAAGTTCCTCTGTCTTGCAGCCCTTCCAGATGGGTGTCGTGGGGTGGGACACTGTCCTGGGGTAATGTGGCGAGAGAGATTAAGCTACTCCTCCCATTATACCAACCTTCCCAACATACTCTTGTCTCTTGCTCCTATTTCAAAATAAAATTAGCACGTCCTTGCTTATCTGAGGTGCGTTGGCAGAGAGCTGTACCTTCTGGAGGGTTGGTTGCTTTATCAGCACCGTGAAGGAAGGACCAGGGCCGGCAGAGGTAAGAGAGACTAGCCAGGAAGAGAAATAGAAAAATCTCGCTGATCCTATTCTCCCCAGAGGCTTGAGGTCCAGTATATATGAGCCTGGCCGTTACCCTCACTTCTGGTGGCCATAGTCAGTGAAGCATATTCTTTAAGGGTAGGGAAGGACAAAAACTAGAAACTTAAACACGGGCATCTAATGAGTAGGCCCTTGATCTAGCCGGTCCATCCTGGGACTGACAGCTGACTGCTGCTGTGCACCCCCAGTAACCTGAGGACTCCACACACGGGTACGGTATATGGGCAAACTCACCCCAAAGCACCCACAACCTTTAGGGTAAATGTTCATTCTTTGGGCATGACCAGAACATGGCTCTCAGAAGGGCCCTCTGGGCCTGGTGGTACACACTTGTAATCTGAGCACTGGAGAGCTGGAGGTAGGGGAGTGCTGAAGATAGACCATCCTGAGCTATGTAGGGGGTTGAAGGCTAGCCTGCAATACATGCGGCTCTGTCAAAAAAAAAAAATAGAAAAGAAAAAGACTCCATTTATGAGACAACCACAAACTCACCATGTTAACTACAGATAACATCAAAGCTGGGCTGTCTGCTGCTGGCAGTCAGCCCTAGCTGGGAAATTAGGAATTGTCTCCCTTTTGATTTTGGAAAGACACTCCCAGTCATTGTGAGATCTATAGTTTACTATACAAATATGAATGGACATACCAATAAGCAAAGTCTTCCTCCTACCAAAAAGTTTTGTACAGGGTGTGCCCTAGGCATTACCCCACATCTTACTAAAGACCAGGAAGCAAGAGGAGACCCATGAGAAGCCAGTAGTGATGAAATGGGAACCTAGAGCCAGTCAGTGTGAGACAGATCAGAGAAGGTGGCTGGCTAAGATTGGAAGAGAGAGCCCCCAGCCCTGGCTCCTCCTGCCATCTAGGGGGCGCAGGGCAGGTAGGAGCAGACACAGATCGCCAGGGTGGCCTTTGCAAAAGACAGCCATGGGCTTAGCTGGGTCCTGAGAAATCAGGAGTGAAATTGTGAAATTGGAGCAGCACAGAGGCTATCTAGGTGAGTCTTGGGGACTGACAGAACAGATGTAGCAAAGAAGCCAGGGCCAGAAGTGGAAGCCCTGTCACCTTTCCTGGAAGGTGGGGAGAAGCTTGGAGCTTGGTCTGTCGTAGTCTTCTCAGCTCTGCTTGGTGGAGACAGTAGTGCCAGCAGCTGACAAAGGGTCTGGTTCTATGTCCTCTGCTACCTTGTGGACACCTAGGGCCCTTAGCAGGCAGGCAGCCAAGAGGAGTTCAGTCCCTTGGATCATGACAACAGCGATAGCACAGCCACCTATGGGACCAATGTTCCCCCGAAGCCATTCTTGCAGCGCAGGCCAGCAGCCCTGCAGGTAAACTACTTGTCCAGCTGCCTTCCGGTCCAGGTACAATGCCCCCAATCCACACCGAGTGTTCACTACAGCTCCGTCTTCCTGGGGGTTGATGCAGCAGGAGGCAGGAAGGCTGCAGGCTTGAATGCCCGGAGAACTGCAGTTGAAGTAGCTGCAGGCACACAAGGTTTAGTCAGGAGAGAAGGCCTGCCTTCAGGCTCCCTCTCCCTCTCCCTCTCCCTCTCCC